GGGCGGGGTACACCCTGGACGGGTCGCAAGTCCATCACAGGGCCACACAGAGACAAACGAGACAAACAACCATTCACTCTCTCACTCACACCTAGGGACAATTTAGAGTTACCAATCAGCCTAACATGCATGTTTTTGGTCTGTGGAGGAAACCGGAGTACCCGGAGAAAACCCACGCATGCACGGAGAGAACATGCAAACTCCACCCAGAAAGGCCCCTGGACTGGGGTTTAAACAAGGGGCCTGCTCGCTGAGAGGCAGCAGCTCTACCAGTTGCGCCACTGTGCTGCCCTGGAGCAATACCATTTTATCTTTTTTTTTTCTTGGTATCTCATGCATACCTTCCCACAGGATCACTAAATGCAGCTCAGTTGTCAATCAGTGAAATTGCCTTGTCGACTAAACCAAATGATAGATAGAGGGTGGATGAAGCTAGCTGAGTTGAGTGAAAAGAAGACAGCAAGCTTCAGTGTACTTTGGTTTCAGATAAAAGGATGGCAGAAGGGCACACTGAAATTAGACAAATCGTCAACGGCTCTAGACACAAAGTGGGAACATTTTAACTTGGTTTTGTATCATAGCATGTCTGCAAACTTGTCATTAAGTTTTTTATTTTATTATTTATTTTATTTTAGACAACTCCTTGGGGAAAACAATACAGCAAACCTTTAAAACATTGATTATAACATTGATTGTGTCTTAGTTACACAGAGCATGGCAAATCCACCATTTCGGGGTTTTTTTTTTTATGTCTTTGCTTTTTTATTTATGTATTCATTTATTTATGTTTAACACACTAAAACACCACTAACTGATGTTCTTACCAACCATAACTGTTGCTGTATGTGCTCACCTAGAGCCACTCTGGCAGCAGAGGCATCATAGTTAATCCAGAAGGAGACCCAGGAGAGGATGGTGATAAGAATAGAAGGCATGTATGTCTGCAGGATGAAATATCCAATATTCCTTTTTAGCTTAAAACTCAAGGAGAGACGAGGGTAAGAGCCTGTTGAGAAGAAGAGTGGGGAAAATGCATATTAATGGTTAAAACTCGTTTTTTTTTCCTTTGGTTTATTTACTAACCAGATGAATGTGCTAACTAGCAACACAACATTTAATCCTGATTGATGCAGTGACCAAATTCTCATTATTTCCCTCACTAGATGATCAAGTCATTCTTGTATTGTCTATTACAGTATAATAAAAATAAACTACTACTTACTACTTGTACTAGTATTCCTACTTTGCGGTTTTCCACTTATCGCGGGTCTTCACGGTACGGATCCCCCGTGATAAACGAGGGACTACTGTACATCTAAATTATTCGGTCTGCACATATTCAAAATTGTAAATAACTTTTCTCGGGGTTCACTTTTTTCTCCTTTCTCCACTGTATTAAACAAACCCTCCTGTAAGAAAATTAAAAAAAAGCTTATACAATATATTTTTTAACATAAACAACCAAAATAGGAAAAAAAAAAAACGTTTCATTGTTTTTATAAGCAACTGAAAAGATAACACAAGTATTTCTCTGAAATAAGTGACACGTTTGGGTATACTGTACACTAAAAAGTACTCTTTGGCAGATTATTTTTTCTTCATAAGGTCAGTAATGACATTAACTGTTATTGGAGTAGAACATAGCATTTGCTTTAGAAACTTGCCCATTCATATATGCTGATGTTTGCATTTCTGAGTCACCCTGAGCTAAGTATTTTCATATTGTAGTAGATACATACTCAAAGGGAATTCTTTTTTTTTAACTGTTTTCTGGATAAAATACCTGTCATTCTGCAGAGACACACTTGTATGAATGTAATTACATATTAATGCTATACACAATGAGACATAATGAGCATTCTTTAGTTAGGGTTATGCTAATAATAGGCTTGCAATGATTTTTGTTTTCTGCAGACAAAACAAACTCTCCCAAGCAAAGACTTTTCATTCGTTTTGTATTAATGTGCACAGCTGTACAGTACAATAACTACCACAGTAACTACAGTCAAAAGATTTATTATCCTGCTGCCAAATGCTTAGCTGCATGACAAATTCATAAATATGGAAATGCAGGAAAAAAAATGAATATTTCATTGTGTTAGACAGTGTTGTTTCTGTTTCTTGCTGGTAAATATGTCATTGTGGTTTTGTGTCTCCACTGACAGTGCTTTATTTAGAGCTCTGTTTATTTATTTTTTGTAGCTTGGCACTTTTCATTTCAGGAAATTAGTGGACGTGTTTAGATGTTTCACATGGAAGTGGTGAGTACAACATGTAAAGCGACTCATGAAGTTTATGATGTTTGAGGTTGTATATTGGCATTACCTGTGGAGAATACAACGTTTTTCGAGATGAGCTTGTGATCCACAATGGAGAACTGGGGTAGTTCGATCTTGTCCACTCCTGTCACTGCATTTTTTCCTCCTCGCCAGTGGAATTCAATGTCATCAGTAGTGTAGCCATCTGAAAGCCAGTAAAAACAATAGGTTAAAGTTCATGCTCAATAATCCAGGTAGAAAATCCAACAAAGTTCAGTCAGGTCATCT